GGAGAGGGTGCCCGAGCCCTGGTGCTGGTGTCGGGGAAGGAGGGTGCTTTGCTCTCAGGCGGTACTAATGCGGTGCTCCCGGTTTGCCTGGGAGACTGTGTTTCCTCTTTCCCCATGCTGGGTGTGGGACTGGAAAGCTGGAGCTGTAGCGACATCGATAAGAATTGTTTCAAGTGATGAAACGTGAGTTGTGCTTTGTCAGGCTGGACCCCAACCAGCTCTGCGGGGCCTTTGCTGCTCTTGGAGCTGCTGCTGCCAAGAGTAATTTCACTCCAAGTGAGCAAACACTTTCATATACCCTGTTTCATATTAGTAGAAATAAAAAAAGACATTTTTCCATTTCCAGCCCTCCCTACTCTCTCTGTGTTAGAGATAGCAGAGCTATGCTACCATCTGATAGGAGCCGTTTGTAGTTGGGGCCAAATTCGTGGCTTGGTCTAATGGGGGAGCATCACCCCAGGCTGGGGTCTGACCCTCTGCTAATGGGAGCTGTGGCTGGTGATGGGGCAGCTGCGGATCCGGAGCCGCTGCTGTCCCTCTCGCATGTCCTCTCTGGGCATCCCAGAGTTGGAGCAATCCAGAGGGAAGCGCAAGGCGGCTTCAGTCTGCAGGAGAGGAGGACCTTGGTGGGGAAAAGGCTGCCCATGCTGACCTTCTCTTCCCAAGTCTGATGGTTGCTGGTGGTGTGGTCCTGCTGGATGACGCCTTGGGAGAAGGAAGGACTGGTTGATGCTGCGGTGTGGCGTTGGGAGCAAGGATGCTGAGGGAAAGCTGGTTGTAGCTGCTGGCTGGTGCGTGCAGTCTCTTGCAGGAGTCTCTGCGCTGTTCAAGGGTGGTGCAGCTATGTCTAATTCTCGTGCTGGCACCTCGCTGTGGCGGTGGGCAGGGTCTGGTGAGAGGGTCTGTGCCTATGCTGGGCGTTTGGTGCTGGCTTTCCTGGCCGTGGCAAAATGCTGACAAGTGGCTCGTGCCTGGGCAGACATCAGCTTCTTGACATGGGACCTGAGCAAGGGCAAGTGTGGGTTTAGCACCCCGGGAGGATTTCTGCTGTTGTAAACACAACATGGCTGAGAGCTGTTGAGTCCCAAATTAAGTCCTGAAATCTGCCTTTGTTGTGTTTTGTTTTTTCCCTCCCAGCCTGAGTAATGCTTTCACTTCTGTGTTTTCTGGGAAGAGCCTTTGAAGTGGGTGGCTGGACGCTGGCTTGCGCTAGAGGTCTCCTGCCATGACTTGCCTGCAAGCAGACGTACTGGCAGCACTCACAGGGAGGATGTTTTGGGACCACGTACGGCACGAAAAGTAGAACCTCTCCCTGTGGAGGAGTCCCCCTCTGCTCTGAATGCCGTCAGCCGTACGGGCTGAGGGGAGAGGAGGGGAGACCCTCCCGCTTGGCCAATCCCACATGACGGGGAGGGTCGTCCCTGTGGGAATGGATGTCCCAGAGGGGTGTGGAGCATCCCTGGGGATGCTGCTCACCTCCCGCCCCAGCACTCAGGGGCTGCAGTCCCGTCACCATGCTGCGCCGGATCCAGCACTGTGTCTCGGCAGTGCTGGCAATGTTGCAAGCAGAGCTGAGACAATGCCTGGCTGGAAAGGGCCTCCCGGGTTTTATGGGTGGTCCTGGCTGCAGCTGGGACGGCGGAGAACGGGGCTCCTCTGCCATCACCTCTCTTGTGGTATGACCGGGAATTGGCCCCTGGTCCCACCGGTGCTCCTGTTCATAGGAAAGTTCATGGTCTCTCCACAGCCCCCGAGGCTGCAGTCGGTCTATGGGCACCGGCAGTGGAGGGAGCGAGGGCCTTTCCGTGTGAGTGCATCAGCCAGTATCTTCAGGAATACGGCGGACACTTCGATTAACAGGGGCTTGGGTGAAAGTGGAAGGTGTTGAGTGCGTTAGGTGAGGAGGTGCGGTTGCAGTTGAGGGAGGGAGCACGGGTTTGATGAGAGGTTGTGCTGGAACGTGTGTGTATCCTGTGAGAACGAAGGGGAAGATGGGCTTGTGGCTGCCGTGCTTTCTCTGCAGCGACGCAGAGCCGCTGCAGCGTGTGGGCTGGGGTGGGTTGATGCTGCAGCTGATGCTGGGGCAGTCCCACAGCCATGGCGCAGGCAGGCTGCGGCTGCAGGGCTGGGAAGGCTGCACACACTTGCATGCTATGAATAACCCTCCAGCTCTCTTCCTGGGGTCAGCTCCCTCCTGGGAGTGACGGCTGAAGATTTTGTCTGTGCGAGGAAGCGCATCCTGGGGTCTCGGAGGCAATTTTGGCTCTTCTGCTCGGCGCTGAGACAGATTTGGTGTGGTGCGGGGCGGGGGGGAGCAGAAAGGCCAGGGCTCCCAGGGAGGAAGCTGTTTGCTTTGGCAGCTCATCCGATCCTGGAGCCAAGACTCAATCTGTCCCGCTCAGGCCTTTCTCCTCTGCCTGCCCGCTGCTGGGGTGGAGGTGTTCCCGGGGCCAGGGGGATGCCAGGCGAGTTGCAGCAGCGGCAAGTCACACGATGGTACCCCCCCTGCCAAATCCTTTATGTTTTAGGAAAGCCACAAGCCGAGAGGCTGCCTCCCGCTGCGTGGTGTTGTGCTCTCAGAGCTGGGTGTGCAGCCGGGAACGAATGTGCCCTCAGGCGTTGCTTTTCTGATGTGCGTGGAAAATGCCAGAGCTGCATTTCTGGCCCCACTGCTGTGAAACGTGGCTTTTGTGCCCCGGAGTCTCTCCCTGAAAGCAGGTCTGAGCTTAAGGAACACAGCCCAAGCAGGGGAGCAAAGGGAGACTGGGGAGCCAGGTTGCTGGCAGAGGGGTGAAAACTGAGCAGTGAGTATGATGCCTTTTGGTGTTTTTCACTCGTGTGACTGCTTAGTCCACAGCAAGGCAGCTGAAAGTTGGTGGTCCGTGAGCCAGGCTGCATTTTACCTGCGTAGCACTGCAAATTCCCTCTGTTGCCGATGACAAGAAGGGCATCATCGCTGGGAAGAGCAGAGTCCTACACAAGCTATTTGCACCCCTGGTCAGCCTTCTTGCTGGTCCTCCTTGGTGTTACCTGATCTTGGCTCTTTGCACGATTGAGGTTTGGATGAGTTTTTAGTTCATGTCTGGGTTTATGGCTCACCTGTGCAGCTCCCATGCTCCCTGAACTTGCTTCGCTGGCAACAGATACCTGATGCTGTGCGGGGAAGGGAGAGCTGTGAGCTCCCACAGCACAGGATTACCAGACCCTCTTTGTCTTCCACAGACTATGATACTTGGAGTAGAACAGCACCTCTGCTAGCTGCCAGATTGTTTTCTTCCTCTAGCAATAAGGATCTAAAGTTGCAGTGATCACAGCAAAGCAATTTGCAAACAAGCCATTTTGAAAAAGTCTCTTGTTACTGATATTATACCATTCCTCCTGCACTGGCAACCACTGTGCTTAGTGCAAGAGTTCAAAGGCAGAACGGATAAAGAAATCAAGGCTCACATTGAGGGATGCTGCTGCTGCTGCCCAGTTAATGTCATGGAGCTTAGAGCTGCCTGGAAACGACTTGCTTCATTTTCCAGATTTGTTGCAAATTGATCTAGTTCAGTGTCTTTAGCTCCTTAAAGCTTGAGTCTCTTTAGCTTCTTAAACATCCTGAATTTGGAAAACAGATGGAATGAAAATTTCACTTAGGTTTCCAGCCCTGGATTACTTTCTTGTACAGTAACAGTATAACACGACAGGGCTTTTGGCAAACTCAGCAGGCGTTTTTGGCACACGGGCAGATAAATACCATTACTCCTGTTGCCAGTGCAGTGGCTGGGAGCATAAGGGTAATACAGAGAGACTCTGCTGCCTTCTCAGGATTGTCATCACGCTGTCCTACTGCCATTCATGTCTGGAATGGTGAGCAGAGCTGCCATCCAGAAAGCAATGTGTGTTCATTGCTACAAGTTCCAGCAGAGCAAGACTTCAAGGAACGATGTTGCGGGGACCCGTCTCCCTGCCAGAGCCAGAGGCTTCTGCATGCCGTCTGCTGCACATGCTCCGAGAGTCAAATGAGAAGGGACAGCAGACAATTAATCACCTATCCGAGCACTGTTTATCTGCAGCTCTGAAGTAAACTCCCAAATGATGCAAATATGTTAGTAATTTTTGGCCATATGTGCTTTTCCCCAAAAAAGAGGCAGAGCCAAATGGCACAGAAGTGATACTTTAATGTACAACATGTTTTCATCATTTTTCCCATGTACACTAAATTCCTCTTCATGGTCATGGCAAAGGAACATTAATTTTTTTTTTTTTTTGGGTTGCGATTAACTCGGGAAAATGCTGAACCCAAAGAGGGAAATATTTTCCGTGGAAGTTGTATCAGATTAACTCCTGTTCTCCTGGGGAAGGTGCAGGCGTGTGGCTGCTCCGTGTGGCTCTGCCTCCTGCACACGGGTCCTGTAGACACGGCTGTTTGCCAGGGGCCTTCACTGCTCGAATATAGAGATGTTCAGTGCCTGGAAACTTGTTTCATGGGCACCAGAGAGCCAGGAGTGACTGCAAACAAATGCTTGAGAAGCCAAGTTGACCTTTTAAATGGCCCTTTCAAGAGTCTCTCCATGCGTCTAGAGCCGGGAAATTACCTTGTTTACTCAGCTAACGTTTTGCTAGCAAAGAGCATATTGCCGGCTGAACAAGTCTCCCTCTCAAATAAAAAGCGCCCGTCGTGCTTTGCTGAGGGGAAGGGAGACAGAGACGTCAGTGTTTTACCTTGATGCTCTCCTGGGCGCGGGGATGGCTCTGCTTCAGGCACGAAAGTTTTCGTGTCATGGTCAGTGGGCCAAGTCATTGCCGGGGTGATGCCGCAGAGGGGGGAGCAGGGGGACGCAGGGGCAGTGGTGCAGTTTGCTGGGTGTCTGCGGCTGGGCAGGGCGCTGCTGCCGTCCTGGGGTGGGGGTGCCGGTGCCCCCTCACCCCCCCACCTTGCTTAGCAAAGGCTTTGTGCCAGCGAAGGCTGCTCAGGAGTTGTTTTGTTTTTCCCCTCTCTCTGGCTTGTTTTTCAGCTCTTAAGATGACCATAAAGGAAGTGAAGAAGGAGAACGGGGACAAGATGATCGTCCCGCGGAAGAGGAAGGCATTGAAGCTGGGGCCCATCCGCAAGAAGAACCTGAAGAAGCTGGTGCTGTTCCTGAAGAACGGGGCTGACTGTCCCTGCCATCAGCTGGACAACCTCGGCCACTACTTCCTCATCATGGGCCGCCAGGTGAAGACCCAGTACCTGTTGACGGCCATCTACAAGTGGGACAAGAAGAACAAAGAGTTCAAGAAGTTCATGAAGAAGATGAAGTCTCCCGACTGCCCGACGTTTCCGTCCGTCTTCAAGTGATGCGGTGGGCGGCGGGAGAGCCGCCGCCTGGACCTCGCGCAGCCTGGCATGGCGGCTCGGTCTCGCTCCTCTGCAGCGGGGATGCTGGAGCCGAGCCCTCCTGCTCCTCCCTCGTGCTCCTCGGAGCTTCCCTCGCCAACCCCAGCCCTCCCACCTCCCTGCTGCTGGCATTTGCCTGATCGCCTGGGCGTGCGAGAGTGATGCCCATGCACCAAACAGTCGCCGAGGTCACACGCCATTTACATCCGCAATATCCAAAGACCTGTTGCTGTACAGATAGGTACATTCATTTAAATAGCAGCTATCAGGTAAAGAGGGCAAGCAGAGGGGTGCGAAGTTATGTCAAGAGATTACACGCTTGCAGAAAGGACCCTCGTGACCACGTTACTCCCGTGTTCATGGCTGCAGGATCGCCCTAAATTAATTCCTGTTTGAACCAGAGCCAGCCAATTAGAAAAACATCCCATCCTCACCATAAAAGTCAATGAACGAGTAGTGGAGAACCCGTTACAATCTCTGATAAAACCTCCTAATAGCTAATTGCCCTCACTGTAAAAAAACCACACCATTGTAGTCTAAACCTGCTTAGTTTAAGCCTTAACCCTGGGGTCGTTGTGATACCTTGTTTGGCTGAATCGGGGAGCCATCCCTTACCAGCATCTCTTGGTACGTGTCACCGGGATGCCTGCCCTGGCCTCTGCCGTGCCAAGCCGAGCTGGGTGAGCCCCTCGAGCCTGGCGCTGTGCTGCTCCTTCTCCAGCCTTTGGGTCCCTTGGGTCCCTGCCTGGTTCGATGGTGTGGCAGCTCCGCTGTGGCCGCGAGGCCAGTGGCGGAGGGTGGGCTGCCTCCACCGGTGCCTCTGGCCTCGCTCGGACCCCCGGCTGCAGCAGGGTGCAGCTGAGCATCCCCTGCACTCATCATGCCTCCCGCATCAGCCTCCCATGGCAGAGTTCCTGTGCACGCGTGGCCGGTGCTGCTTGCGCCCAGATGTATAATTCCATTTTAGCCACGTGCAAACGCATACCGTTTGCTGGCCAGGGACTCCTGGTCGGGGGAGAGCTCACGGCCAGCTCCTCCAGCTTGTGTCACCCCCTAACTTGACCAGTGATATTTTTATAGTTTCTTCAGGCTGCTGGCAAAATACCAGATTGCAGAAGGCCGAGGACTTGTCCCTATGGAGCGCCACGGGAAACACATCGTCTCCATCTTTCCCTCTTTGCAGTCGCTGTGGGACCTATCAGTTTCTAGGTTTTTGTCTGTTTGATGTGTGACAACTTGGCTTTGTATCACTCTGGGTTTTTTTTTCCCTAATCAAAATGTCATGTTAGTATGAGGTCAAATAGTTTATGAAAGAAAAGAATATTTCATCCAAATGATTACATTTATCGACCAAGCTGAAACTCATTATTCAGTTAATTGGACAAGTTCTCTTTTCCATAGACTCGTATTGCTCCGTATTAATTATACCATCCTGCTTCCATTCAGTATTCTCATCAATCACGATTACTCTAAGAGAATGAATATCTTGCGACCTGAGATAATTGTGTTGTATTGCAGTTAAGTGAAATAACAAATCCTCATTTTTGAGGTTTAAACCAACCCCACTCAAAGCTGGTAAATTCATTATTCTTTAGCTCAGGAGTGCTGTTTATTCCCCACGTGGGGACGGAGCCGTGGACTTGATTGTAGAAGAATTCCATGAAGAAGCCAGGCGCACTGGGGAATGATGTTTCACGGCTAACAGAGAGATGGATTTAGGACGTGAACTCTGTAGAAAGTCCCACTAGGTTGTCTTAGACCACCATTTGTAGTAGTGTTGTTTCTTTGATGCAAAATTAATCACTGTAGATAATGTGCTTTATCAGTGAATTAAAGAAATAAATAAACCATGGGCTTTAACATCACACATTGATGAGGTGAAATGATGGGGAAGGCTGACAAATCCAGCCTTGGCAGAAACAGGTCGTGGCCCGGAGTCGGGACACGTTGAGCTGAAGGGCCGGTTATCTTGGAGCACCCACAGTGACAGCGCCCGGCGAAGCCCCACAGGGCCCGGGACAGGGACCCTCCATCCCCACCGGCTTTCCTTCCGCAGCCGAGCGGCAACGTGGAAGAGGGATTGCTTGTGCGCGCGAGAGAGATGCTTAAACCTTTAATTGGGCTGGGGTTTTCATGCCATCACCCAGGCTGCTGCTGGGTGTCCTGCCGGCCACCTCTAGAAACCTGCTGTGTACCGGGCTGTTGATTTACTAGTTTTAAAATATGTATTTCAGTAGGAAGCATCAAATCGAAGAGCAAACTAGTTCACAGGTGCTTAGAGCCACTTTTCAGCCCTTGGCAGCCTTTGCTGCTCAGAAAGCCTGCTTTCCACCAGCGGATCTTGAGCCTGCAAGCCTAGATCCAGAGGCAGGCGAAGCCGGCAGGGCAGCGGGCTCTTTTCCTTTCCAGTACAGAGCATGAAACAATGTACGTGAGTTCGATAACACCACTGGTGCTTTTTTTCGGCAGAAGTAGTCCAGAAAAACTAGTAGCACGAGTGATGCATTTTGCTCTTTGTAAGCGTTTCGTGCATCGTCTCACGGACTTGGCCCAGCCTGCCGGGAGCCCCCGCAGCACACGAGGAGCGACGGCCCTGGACCGGGATGCGTGGCAGACGTCCCGGGAGGACTGCGCAATCCTTCAGACTGTGTCCCAGGGCTGAAGAAACCCCACACCTCAGAGCTACCCGTGGGAAGAACAATTTATCACTGTAATTACCTACTTAAAGCATAATATAGTTGTATGTTACTAGTTGTTCTATCAGTTACTTCAAACACCCTTCTGACCCTGTATGTTTGTCCTTGAAAAGCTGATCAGAGCTGCCGAGCAGATTGGCACGTTGCATTTCAGACGTGGTATTTTGGACTTTTCCATGTACCTGGAAAATAACTTCGCCATTCTCTTGCCAAACTGTTCTGTGATCTGCCAGCCATTCCTGCGTGGATCCAGCGGGTAGATTGACTGGTCGTCACTCTGCTTCCCCCTTGCCCTCTTGGTATGTGGAGGCTTTGGATAAAAATAACAGCATTAATAGAAATGCATCTGATGTAACATCATGTTGTAGGCAGTTAAGGTATCTTTACATTTTGGTTTAATGTTATTTTAGATATAGTTAATTTAGAAAAGTGTGGCAGATGAGAAGGGACTGGTTTTCTGTTTGGAAGTTTTGAGAAAATGTAAAAGACCAGTGAAAATCAGCACTGTAGAGAACAGCCTTCTCTGGGCAGTGAACAAAAGCATGAGGCTTCTCATTACCGTAGCTGGCATGATTTTTTTATTTCTGTGAATATTCTTACACCTTTTAAAGGCTGACAGATAAAACGATTAGCAGTATGAAGGCTAACGCAGCTCTTACTCTAGAAAAGAAATCTGGTGCGCAAGCACATGCTAAATGTCTGGAAATAGGAGCTTTTTCCCTGTCCTGTCACTTCAGGGGGAGCTTGGTTGCGACGAGAAGGTTTGGTGGGTGATACTGTGAAATCACCACCTCATGGAAAGGTGGACATGGAGTCAGTAGGAGAGAGGTACCAAAACACCAGCACCAGGAGGAGATCCTGTGCACGCTGGTAAGCTTGGAAGAAAATAGAGCGTGATGTTTGCAGTGTGCATCGCCTGGCCCCGGTGCCTGCAGAGGCACGGACGTGCGCTGCGTGTTGAGGTGACTGCTGCACTGGCAAAGCAGAAGCAGATCCATTTCCAAGAGAAGAGGCTTTCAGAGAAAATGTCCAGCAAGTTTCACGCTCCCCAGAATACATCTGTCTCCTTTAGGAAACGTTAATTAGTTAATTGCGGTTGATGCGTTGAGGGCGACAGATAACACGGGGATGTCTGCCCAGTGATGCACGCTGGCACGCTTCGACAGATGGGCAGGAGCCAGCCTTGGCTTGGGGCTGCTTGCCCAGGACCCCTCAAGCCCCCACCATGCTTTAGTTTGCTCCGCCGAGCGCACCGGAGAACCCCCAGCACCAGCGGGTGTAATTCAGGCCCGCAGTGCCAAGCTTGACTCTGCAAAATCGGTGTCAGCTTCCACCTCTCTGACGTGTGTAAAAGTTCAGATACTGTGAATGTGTTCAGTGCTCTTGTTTTTTAACCAACAAATTTCAGCGGTGTGTTCACGTTACATTATTTTAGCAGTTGATGTTGATGTTATGACTTACATTTATTTTCAAGTCTAATATCGGTTCCTTTTTTTTAATGCTTTTTCTTCCATGTATCAATATTCACTTAACTAAAATTGCTGAATTAATCAATTACAATGTGATTCCCCTACTCCCCCTTTTTATAAAAAGATGTTTTCTAACTTGCGTTGGTGCTTTTGAGGGTTGCTGCAGGGTGACTGGTTTGAGGGTGTGCTGGGGTGAGCCAGACCCCAGGAGGCTGTTGGTGGTCCCGCGGGGGTGCGTGTGCTGCCCGCTCACAGCAGCGATGCTCTGGGCATGTGTCGTGGTTTAACCCCAGCCAGCAACTAAGCACCACGCAGCCGCTCGCTCACTTCATCCCCACCCGGTGGGATGGGCAAGAGAATAGGGAAAAAAAAGTAAAATTCGTGGGTTGAGACAAGAACAGTTTAATAGGACAGAAAGGAAGAAAATAGTAATGGTAATAATAAAATGATAATACTAATAAAAGGATTGGAATGTACAAAACAAGTGATGCACAACGCAATTGCTCACCACTCACCAACTGATGCCCAGTTAGTTCCCGAGCAGTGATCACCCCTCTAGCCAACTCCCCCCAGCTTATATACTAGGCACGACATCCCATGGTATGGAATACCCCTTTGGCCAGTTTGGTCCAGCTGTCCTGGCTGTGTCCCCTCCCAACTCCTTGTGCCCCTCCAGCCTTCTCACTGGCTGGGGATCAGAAGCTGAAAAATCCTTGACTTAGTCTAAACACTACTTAGCAACAACGGAAAACATCAGTGTGTTATCGACATTATTCTCATACTAAATCCAAAACAT